TGTCCCCCTTTGAAGGGACAGATGTCAGGGAGAAAGCTGATTACTGTCAGAGGCTGGAGGCTGTGACCGGAGCTCTCGGTGAGGGTGACCCAATTCCGAGCTATTCTCAGCCTGGTGGGAGCCGAGTTATTCCCTCCCGCCGACGCGGCTGTTCCGGAGGCAGCCTGACTTTGAAATGCCCTCCTCCGCCGCCGGCGGGGCCCAGGCCGGCTCAGGGAGGAGGCCCGCGGTCCCACGCCGCGCCCTGCTCGCCCCCGGGGCCCCGGCCGCACCCACACCGCTCCCTTCCCAGCCCGCCGGGAGGTGCCCGCGGGACCGCTCGCCCCTCCTGCGCCTGAGCCCGAGGCCGCCACAGAGAAGGGAGGGCGCGAGCAGGGTAGGTGCGGGCAGCCCGCGGGCCCGGGGGGAGCAGCGAAGGGGGGGCAGCGCCGAGTTCACAGCAGCCCGGCCCCTGCACGCGAACAGGCCTGGCTGAGACGGCCAGGGAGGCGCCCTGCCACAGACCTGGGAGTGGACGGGGCGCTGCTGGAAGCCTCCGGGGCGCTTTCAGGCGAGGGGGGGCGGTGTAGGTGTTTGTTAGGCCGGTGTCTGGGTGCGGGCTAGCACGCCTAACCCCAAAGCTGTGGAGGTCAACGAACAGCCGTGGGCCCGTGGCCAGCCTGGGGTTCTTGCAGTTCTGTTTTATTACACACTTAACTGTAAGCACAGGGAGCGCATGAGCTGGATTTTCCAAAGAAGTCTCAACGTCAAACAGTCTCTGCCATTATCCTGATCAACTAGTCAAGCGCCCCCGAAGCAAACAGCTATTCAAGGGCCTCAAATTGCAAAGGACATTCTCCGATGGACCCAGAAGCAGCCCCAAAATTCTGGCCTCGGAATCTGCAACAGAGACTGAGGGCTTCCTGGAGGCGGGGGCAGCAGTAGCTCCCACTAGTGATAACAATCATAGAGCTGTTCTAGGGTGCCAGGCTGGCTCTGTCTGGAGAGCGCACAACTCTTGATCTCAGGGCCATGAGCTTGAGCCCCACGATGGGTGTAGAGATTATTCAAAAAAATAAATTTTGACTTAAAAAAATATATGTATCAGAAACGTTCTGTGAGGACCAACTGAGCAAACGCTGATGCGATACTTCATCTCTGGCACCAATTCCCCACCCCCATGCCAAGGCAGGCACTGTGTTCACCCTCCTCTCTGCCAGGATGGAGGTAACTTGTCACCGTGGTGCCACAGGGAGGACGGGAAGCAGGCAGGCTCAGAGCCTGAGCCCTTAAGAGCTTGTACCCCCCCAGTGAAGGGCAGAGTGGAGTCTGGCCAGCCCCACTAAGGCTCAAGTCCAAATCCCTTGTCCCTCTGTGACTGCAGGGGCCACCTGCTGGCAAGGCCTTCCAGACTGTCCCAACCCCCAACCTCCACCCGCCCCCTCAGGGTTTAACCCCCTTCCCTTGCTTTGCTTCCACCGTGCACTTCTCACCTGCACTCTGCGCCTGGTTCCCAGGAGCCCTGCAAGGGCTAGCTGGGCTGCCCTGAATGTCTGGGTCCTCAGTGCCAGGAGGGGATTGGTCCGCACTTGCTTGGGGGGGTAGCACCCCGTGAGGCTGGCGAGGGCAGGGTTCTGAGGATTGGGCACAATTGGGCAGCCCCCCCCCACTCCCTCCTGAGGGCATCAAGAGCCAAGACCTCCAGCAAGGCTGCCCCTGGGGATCCTCTCAACTGAGGCCCCGCCAGGAGGCGGGGCCATCCCCAGGCTGCCTCTGGGCAGACTGGGGCACTGTGTCTGGGCGACCAGTCTGTGCTCTGAGCAGCCTTGCAAACAAGGCAGGCAGCTACCAGCTGGGAGGAGGTGCCCTCCACACCTACTCAAACTCCCCACTAGCACTCCCATCTTATTCTTCCTGGCCTGCCTGCTGTCTCCTGCCCCAGGCCTGCCCACGCCCACCTGGCAAGGCCTCCTGCTCAGCCCCCGATTTCCACCCGCCCTTCCAGCCCCCACATGGCTGTCACCTCTTCTGAGGAGTCTTCCAGGATTACAGTAGAACTCTCCCCTTTGGCCTCTGTGGTCACAACCTAGGAGACCACAGGGGGCGGGAGAGGGTCAGGGAGTCCCTGGTGGGCAGGCAGAAGCCGGAGGCCTGCATCCCAGTGAGTCTCATCTCCTCTGGGCCTCAGTTTCTCCACCTGTGCAGTGAGCTAGTGGGGCAGGAATAGCATCATCTCCCTGGGCCTGGGGTCTCACATAGCCTGCCTGCCCTGCCTTCAGCAACAGGTTAGAGGCAGGGGGCCCACATCTCTTGGAAGACGGGGGCGGGGGTGGGGAGGTTGGTGGGCCGCAGATCTAGACAGCAGGGGTGAGGGGGGCAGGTGTGGGGAAGTCCACCCACTGTCCTGTCTTCGTGGAGCAAACAACCCTTGTCATACTGCTTGACAGGGTGTGGCCCCCGGGTGCTTGGCATCCTTTATATCACCCACCGCCTGTCCGAAATCCAGCCCCGGGCCCCAGACCACGCCACCTCAGGGACTCCTGCTGGAGGAGGCGAGCCCCTCACAGGCAGGTGAGGGCAAAGCATGGCCAGGGCAGGGGCAGCACGTATCAGGGCTGAGGAGGGCAAGGCCCAGGGGACTTCCTGGGGGAAGTGGCTGGAGCCAGCCTCTATGGAGGCCGAAGCAGACTCTAACCCTGTCGGTAGGGCAGGATCCTGGGCTGGGGCCCTGGGAGTGGGTGAGCCAGGGGCTCTAGGCCTTCAGGCGGGCAGCCGTGGAGGCAGTGAGACGTGTGACTGGGCGGGTACAGGAATTTCCAGGAAAAACTGAGCATCACTGGAGTGTCTGGGTGAATCCTTGCCCTGTGACCAGCCCCATGCCACTGACTCTTGGAGGGGATGGTCACTGACCTGCTGACCCAGTCACGCACTCACCATGGGCGCTGGCCCTGCCTCTGGACATGGGCTCCCCTTCTGCCAAATCGGGGCACTATTCAGCATTGGAATCGCAGGCTAGGAAACGTGAGGGCTGAGAACGGTGGAGCAGGATGCTCCCGCCTGAGGTTGGCGGTGGCCAGCAGAGAGACATTTGAGGGGGGTCTTACAAAGGGTGCACAGGAGTTCTCGGGGGGCTTGGGGCCACATCGAATTCCAAGCTGAGGCCGAATGGAGCCTGGATGGCTACCCGGGATGAGGCTGATGCCCAGAGCCTCATGTGGGACCTGGCAGCACAGCTGAGGGGCTGGAGGGCCCCCCCGGACTTCAGAGCTGCCCAGGGCCAGGTACGCGTACGAGCAGGGTCAGGCGTGCAGGTCTCCTGACCCCAACCCTCCAGCTCCCACAGGCCCAGGGATGCCCAGGGCTGGAGTCTAGGCCACCATCCTCAGCCCCACATGGAAGGAGCATGCATGGGCAGGCCCGTGTGCTCTGCAGAGCATGCAGGGTTATGCCCTGTGTCAGGCATCTTGCTTGCCTCTCTCCAAGGCCAGGGTAAGGCACAGGTCCCTCCTCTGTCCCCCAAGCTAGGCATTTGCTCAGAGCTCAGGACAGGTCCTGGGATGGAGAATAAGAACCCTGGGCTGGTGGTTTCAGGGCCGCAGAGAACTCTGATGGGACTCAGGTCCTGCTAGGAGCCTGGGCAGGAGAGGGGAGGCCCCCCAGCCCTGTAATGCTGCCCCCAAGAGACCAGTCCTCCAGTAGGCCCACCTCACCCGGCACCTTTGCAAGGACTCAGGCCTGGGTGTGGCAGGGCAGGCCTGTGGCGGGGCCGGGGCAGGGGTCCTTTTTGAGTTCTAGGCCCTTCCCGGAAGCACAAGAGGCGGCACCTGCTATGAATGAATGCAAGGCCAAGCCAGGCTGTGAAGGGAGGGTCCAATGCTCTGGGACGGACGGACACACACACAGACACATGCGCGCACACACACGTGCACACACGCGCGCGCACACACACGCAGACCCCCCCCCTCCTCCCCCACTAGGACAAGTGGCCCTTTCTGTGGCTGAGTGGGGGTGGCCACACACTCGCCCCTTTGTCCATCATGTCCCAGGCTGCTGTCCTGGAGTCCAGGGCCCCTGGGACAGGAAGAGGAAGGAGCAGGGGCCGGGGCGCTGGTGTGGGGGGAGGCCCGGCCTGGACACTGGCACGGGGGGCACTGAAGAGACCAGGGAGCACGGCAGCGGCAAGAGTGTTTATTGCTCTGCCAGGCACGGTCAGGAGCCAGCCCCCTGGCGGCACACTTCCCTGGGGCTCTTGTCCTGCTATGGAAAACGGAAGCTCTTGAGGATAGTGAGGCCAAGGACAGGCGCTCAGGCCCTTCATGCCACCGAGGCAGGCAGGGATGCCAGGGCCCCGGCCCAGAGCTGGAGACCAGGGCCAGGCAGGTGACACGGAGTACAGCCCTCCGTCCTGGACGCAACCCCGTGCCCCCAGCACTCCTGTGAGGGGGCAGGGGCACCCAAGCAGCCCCGGGGCTGGACAGCCGGGGTTCCAACAGCTCTGAGAGGGCCGGGCCGGGCCACCTGAGGCACTTTACCGTCCCCCTCAGGCTCCTGGCTAAGTGGCGCTCTGTTCTCACTGACACACCGGGGCTCTGACTGGACCAGCGCCACGAAGGCACTTCCAGTGGCAGGAGAAGCGCGGCAGACGGGCAAGGCTGCCCAGGCCCTGTCCCTCCCATGGGAGGGGGTGCAGGGCACTCCCACTTGGCCTATAGGGTCCTCTTGGCGGGAGGGGCCTCAGGCCTCAGGCCACCCAGCAAGCCCACCTCTCCCTCCCCCAGCCCAGCACCGTCAGCTTCCCAGGGAAGAGGGGCTAGCCCACAGACCCGGTGGTCCTCCTCCTCCTCCTGGCTCCCTCACCCCCCTGCCAGTTCGGGGCTACCTGGGAAGGGGTCAGGGCCCCACCACCTACACCCCTTGGCCTCAATAGCCAGAAGAGCCGGTGACAGCAGAGACTCTGGCAACAGACAGCAGCAGAACAAGGGGTGATGGGCGGGAGACGTTCCCACTCGGAGAGGCCCCCAAGCCCCGCCCCGCCCGCCCGCCACATGTTCTGTCTAAACACAGGCCCCGGCAGGCGTGCACTGACCATATAAGGTGGCCTGTGGCTGAGCTGCCCCCCGGCCCCCCTCCACGGGTTCTCGGCTCCCTGCAGCTCCCAGCGGGAGGCCCACTAGCCCGGGGTCTTGGTGGCGAAGGTCAGGTAGCCCGTGTGGCCCACGGCCTCCTTCATGGGTGTGCCGCTGCGGAAGGGGCCGGCGTCGGGCCCCAGGCTAGCCCCCAGGTCAGGTGCAGGCAGGCTGACGGTGCGCACGTTGTACAGCTGCGGGAGCACCTCCAGGGTGCTCAGTTCCGAGAAGCCGCGGGCGGCCAGCGCCTGGCAGGTGCGCTGCACTTGCTCGATGCACGGCGAGAAGGAGCAGAAGCGCCCACCTGTGGGGAGCCAGGGCCGGGGTCAGAGGGCAGGAGGGCACGGGCGCCACGTGGCTGAGGGCTGCCTCCCCCAAGCGCCCCGGGCGGGCGGCAGGGCGTGGGTCCAGACCACGGTGGGGCCGTGGGCAGAGAGCCGGTGGCGTAAGAGCTCCCCTGGAGCCACGTGGAAGGGACCGCTTAGGCCGAGCCCAGAACCCTGATTTCATCTGGACTTCGGCACTGCCACCTTCCACCTCCACAAGGAAGCCAAGGGTTGGGGCCGGGACGAATCATGGGGTCAGGGTCAGGGCAGAGCCTTGGCACGGCAGCTGCCAGAGCACTGCGCCCAGAACAGCTCCAACCACCCAGGGCGATGGCGGTGGGGGAAGGGGTTCGCAGGTGGTGGGAGCTGCTGCTGTCACAGGAAATTAGAGGCTGTCACCTACTCGGGGGAACAGGAGGCGCCTACTCTGAGCAGCGCCTGACGGCCAAGGATGACGGGGTGCAGGCGGGAGCCGACAGCCCCTTCCTGCCACCTCCCACCAGGGCCCACCCGCAGTGTCCCTCAGCCTGGCCCGGGTCCAGCCCATGTCCCTGTCCTAGCAGGGAAGCCTCAGCGGGGAAAGGGACGTAGCCGGGCAAGTCCTCAAATGGCCCCGAGGCCTGGTCACCTCAGCCACACCTGGGGACACAGACCCCCCAGACTGGTCTTCAAAAAGGTGTAGGCTTGGAGGAGGGACCAGGAGTCTGAAGCCAGCTCAGAGAGGGTGCGGGGTCATCCCCAAGAAGGGACCCGACCCCTATGCGTACTGCTAGGAAAACAGGCCCCACCCGGTGAGGGACAGAGCCTGGGGTCGGGCTCACAGAAAAGCAGGCGAGCCACTGGAAAATGCAAGGCCCACAAGTAAGTTGGAAACCTCTGGGACCAAAACAAGCAGACACAGCAAGAGCACAAAGGAGGGGGCTTACAGGAACACGGGGGATGGCGACGACAGATGGCGTGGCTCCCCGGGGGCTAGCCACCAGGAAGGAACCTTGGCAAGAGGAGGAAGACCTGGGAGTGTGACCCCCTGCACTTGGCCCAGGCCTGCAGTGTCTGGGGGCAAAGTCGGAAGGCATGGAGGTGTAGGGAAGCGGGGCCCACCGTGGCAGAGCCCAGGGACACAACGGGACCCACTGGGAGCCGTTGCCTAGAGCGCCTCGCTCTTGGAGAAGCGCCTTGGCACCTGTCTTTCGGAGGGGCAGCCCATCCCCTGGGGCACCCTGGGCTCCCTCTCTGCCCTCCCCAGCTGCACTGCTCAGCGGGGAGGGGGGAAGGGGCCCTGGCTGCCTGGGCTGGCTCCTTCTCCAGAAAAGGGAAAAACCCAGGGCCTCACCAGGGCCTCCCTGGCAAAGAGCCAACCTTCCCTCCTCCTTCCCGCCTCCACATCCAGCATCTTCCCTAAAAGAGGCCGGTTCGCCGACTTGTGGCTGGGGGGAAGGGAGACTCTGCTGGCAAGGGCTGGGGTCAGGGGCTGACCTCCGACCTCTAAAATGTCTCATGGCGTGGATCCCCCCTCTCACTGAGATGGAGCCGCTACATTCCCCAGGGAACGCAGACATCTCCCACATCCGGGGGCGAGCGGGGCAAGGCCAAGGAGCAGGGGCTCGGCTGGAACCGCCTTCTCCCCAGATCTTACTCCTCCCAACCCCACCCTCTCGCGGGTTGACTTCCCGTGAGTCCTCAGCCAGCCTGACCCCCCCCAATTTCGGGCCAAAAGGGGTCCTGGCCTAGCCAGGCTGTGTGGCCCGGTGGTTTCTGACCCCTCTGGGCTTCAGGTGACCCACACCCAAGGCTGGGCCCAGGAGCTCAGTGCTGCACCAGAACCCCCACTGTACCTTCAACCTTGAGGGCATCCCAGGCATGGCCCACAGCCTCCCAAGGAGACGGGATGTCCAGGAAAACAGCATCTGCCACGTGGCTCACACCAAAGCCGCTGCGGCACACGTCCTGGTTGCGCACCGTCACCCAGCGGCCCACTCGATGCTCCTGGAACTCCTCCCGAGCCTTCTCCGCCCGCTGCTGGTGGAACTCCACGGTGTGCAGGTGGCCTGTGGGCGCGATGGTGCGGATGATGGCGTGGGACACGGAGCCGCTGCCAGTGCCTGGCGGGACAGGACGGGTGTCAGGCAGGACTGCTGGGGACACTCAAGAAACAACTCCACCCTCATCCTGGAAAGACCCACACAGGGCCCACCGGGACAGACGACCCCGGTTACTCACGTGCATCACTCCCGGAGCTGCCCGCCAGGTCCCGGCTGCCCAGGGTCTGGTTAGCTGGGGCTGCACTGGGGCTGGGTGGGGACAGGACCTGGGGCTGATTTCCGGAGTCAGCTGTGGGCCCAGTGGGGAGAGTGGAAGCCCTGCCCAATCCCAGCGCCAGAGGCCCTGTAGGGTCTAGACAGAGCAGAGGGGGCAGCACGGGCCTGCCCCCAACCCTCCACCTGATGGCTGGTCCTGAGCCCCCTCTCCCCGAACTCCTGGCCCACCTAGATCGGTCTGCCCCCTGCCCCTCACCTGCCTCCACCACACAGGGTGCGAGGGTGGGGCAGCCCTGCCCTCACTCTGCGCAGCCTCATGGCGCCATGACACAGCAACCAGCCGGCCACACAGCTCCAGTCTTCCGTGTCATTGTCTCCCAGTTCTCTTCCAACTGCACTGGCCACTCCTCAGCTGCCTTCAGCCGCCCCCTGCTTGACTTCTTACCTGGCAGCGCCCCCGCCATGACCTCCCCTCGTCCTGTGGTTTCCAGCGCCAGTCTTGATGAACACTCCCCAAAGCCATGTCCAGACTCCTACCTAGTGTCCAGTGCATGTGCACCACCTCCCCTCAACAGCCGACCAGCGGTTGGCATGAACAAGGGCAAAGCTGGATCCGCTCCAATCCCAAACCCCTCCCTGCCAAGCCTTTCCCAGCCCAGTCAGCGACACCCAGAGCTCAAACAGGCACCTCAGAGGTGCCCTTGACTCCCCTCTCCACCCCCCATTCGACCCACTGGGAACTTGTGTCTCCCCCCCCCCATCCCCACCCTGCCACCACACTGCCTGGGCCCTCCCTCCTGGCTTTGTAACCACCAACAGACGGGCCAGCTGCCTTCCATCCTGCCTCAAACACAGCAGAGTCAGACCCCTGATGGCCCTCTGAGCTGTGCCCGTTTCCTCCTGACCTCACTGCCTGCTCCTGCCACGCTGGCCTCCTTGCTGGGCCCCTACTCAGGGCCTTTGCACGGCTCGCCCTTGGAGGGCACTCTCCCTTGGCTCTTGGTAGTGCCTCCTTCTCATCATTCCCAGCTGAACGTCCCCTTGTCAGAGGTCTTCCCTAACCAACCTAGCTGAAGGGACCCCTGGGAGTCACCCTCAAACACGCAGCCCTGTTTTACAAGCCTCACAGCAATCAACAGCACTGAACCGGTGACACCGGTGAACTGGGCTTACTATCTGCTCGGGGAAGCAAAACCCCAGCCTGTCTTGTTCACAGCTGGACCCACAATTCCTAGGCTGGGAGCTGGCACACCAGAGCCCAGAAGCACGCCCACTACACAGACAGTAGCAGGGGACGGCGCCGTCTTGAAGTCTTGTAGTCCATCCGCCACCTGCACCCCATGTCCCCTATGGCTGAGCAGTTGGCCTCTGCCCAGCCCCTGCCCACCGTCTGACCCACAGCCCAGGTTCGACATCTGACTCTTCCCATTTCAAAGTGTTTGGCTGGGTAACAGGAACCATCCAATTGTCCACATGGAGAGGAACAAATGGCCTGAAGTCCTCAGAAAGTTGGAAGCAGTGATGTTGGGAACTCTTCGTAGCCTTGGAGCCCAGCTGCGCAGCCCATGAGGAATATGCTAGAAATCTAGGTGCATGTGGGCCTGGGCTGTTTTGGCTGGGCTGTATGTTTCAATCTCCATCCCAGGTGGCCCCAGCACCCATGTGTATGTGTGTGCGTGTGTAAGAGCTAGGACCGACCTCAGGCCTTGGACTCAGTGACAGTGGTGCTGGCCAAGGATGAGCTTGAGGCAGTCTCCCCACCTACAATGAGCACCTCAGAGCAGCCCTGGCCTCCCTCCAGGAAGAGGCAACTCTCAGCCCTGTCACCAAAAAGGTAGGGAACGGCAGTCAGCACCTAGGCCAGAGCCGAGTGGCACTCTGGCCCTGCCCCACCAAGGCAGGAAGGACTCTCACTGAACACCAGCTTCTCAGGAGGGAATCGCCAGTCCCGCACCATCAACTCTCAACCAGATCTGCTGCTTCTCACTCCCTGTGGTCAGCTCCCCAGAAACCTCCTGGCAAAAGAGAGGTTGAGCAACCATGCCGCCTTGTCCTCAGGAAGGGCAGGCTGGAGGCTGTCTGGATGTTGGGTCTGATCTCCACCTTCAAGTCAATTTTTCAGAGTTAGAATTGAGGTAGCCCAAAGAACTCACCGGATTCACAGACCACAGACCCAGGCCGAAGCTCCAGCATCATGGTGAGCAGAGCAATGTCGGTGGAGTAGAGGATCTGGGTGCGGTGTGGCAGGTTCAGTGTCCAGAGCTCAGGCGTGGGGTGCAGCACATATACCCAGCCACCTCGGCCACAGGTCACCTTGGAGCCGAAGGGGCGGCCGATGAGGTCTACTGAGTGCCGCAGGACACCATGCCGGGTCTGGGTCTGTGCCCCACGTTGCACACGCACCGCTACCATTGCACCATGGCCCAGTGACAGGATGGCCGTATCACCCTCTTTGATCAGCTCCTCATACGCCACGAAGCTCATGGTGTTGCTATCTGGCAGGTGCCTGGGACCTGGGAGGAAGTGTGTCAGCATGAGCGTGTAAAGGTGCCAGGAGGGTGCACCTGGAATCTGGGTAGAGGGCTGTGAGGCCCAGAACCCACGCGGTGGGGGTGGGGTGGCTGGCTCTGTCCCTGGCTGCACCCTGGCCTGACATGTTAAACCCTCCTTGGTCTGAGTCGTAAGACACAAGTCACTAGTCCAAATCACAGACAGAGAAACTGAAGCGGGGCCATGGCAGAGGACGGGCCCAAGATTCCCCACCAAGCAAGGGCCAGGAGACCAGGAGACTGGCTCCCATGCTCCAGATGCGAGATGAGGAGCCGGCCACCGGCGGGGCAGCGGCCAGTGGTCTGTGCTATCACCTCCATGCCGGGGTCCATTCCGCAGAATCCCCCCCTCTCCTCAGTCTCCCCCCAAACGGGCTTCCAGGCGGCCGGGCGGCAAGGGGGATGCAGGAGAGGTAAGGGCCCTCCGGAAGGGGTGGGGGTGCGCAGGGCCCGGCCGGCACAGGGCGCGGGGGGGGTGCCGCGCGGAGTCTCACCCGCCACGCGCGGCAGGGTCCCACTCCCGGGCGCTCCGCACGTGGCGCCGCGACAGCGGCTCCGCACTTCCGGCTCCGGCCTGGCGCCCAGCGATGGCGTCACGGCGCCCCGCGGCGCCCCACCCCCCGCGCGGGATGCCGGGACCCGCGGCCAGCCCCTCCCCGCTGCGGAGCGCACCTCCGGTGCGGCTTTCGGCTCGCTATTGCTACCCTGTTTATACAAGCTCGTGCAAAGGACGAACGAGAAGTTCCAGCGTCCCCTCGGCCGGGCTGCTGTGGGCGGGGACGAGGGCTGGGCACCGTAACGCACCCTTCTCCGCAGCCCCGGAGTTCCCGGAAAGGCCAGCTCTCTGCCCAAACCCCTCCGAGGACGCTTTGCCTTGGACATGTTGTCACCGCAAACCTCTCTGGGAACATCTCAGACTGGGCCCCAGGGTGAATTTCAGAAAATGAAATTGTAGATCGGAGGGTTGTCCCAGAAGTCTCTGGCCGGAAGGATTGCCGAAGTGGCCTTAGGCCAGGCCCTGCCTCCCGTGCGGGGCATATCCTCCACTTCGGGGGGAGGTTAGTGGTGGTGAGATGCAGGAACTGGGCTCACGTTGGGGTCGGTGAGGCCCGGTGAGCAGCCTGAGCAGGGAACTGGGGGAAGGGCAGGGGGAAGACAAGGGCAAAAAAGGGAAGCGGCAGCCCTGTTCCGTCTCAGCAGGGCTGACTCAGAGCCAGTTCCTCCGTAGAGGGTGTGTGTGGGGGAGGGAAGGACAATAGGGGATATGGAATGCCTTCCTCCATCACCCAGCTCCCAGCAACCAGGGCTTGTCGTGTTAGCCCTGGGGACCCGAAAGGGGATAGAGACTCTCCAGCCCACCCCTGCTACCAGGAGCTCTGGGCCCTAAACCAGAGCCAGCTAGCAATGACCCTGGGCCACACCCCAGGCCCAGATTGCTCCAGCCTGGCAAAATGGGAGTGGCCAGGCCCCTGCAGAGCCAGCCTGCCCTTGGGGCACTCTGAGCTCTCCCTCTTCTGGGGCCAGGACTGCCACAGTATCTGTGGCCCTTGCCACGGGCCCCTTAGAGTCCATGGTAGAAACCGGTGCCTGGTCTCAGCTCCACCACCCCTACCCCGCCCCTACCATGCCTCTGTCTTGGCTGGGTCTGGGTTTGGGAACCTCCCTGGGGGCTAAAAAGGTAAGGGGACTTAGGTGGCCTGCCATTCCCTGTGGGTTCATGTTCCTTTGGGGCCAGCACTCTGGCCACCAGCTGCCTGTGTGGCTCATCATGGCCTCGCTGCCTCTTGCTCTCAACATTGAGACAAGCCAGCCCCATCTATGGCTTGCCAGTCTCTGTTCCAGGTGATCTGCTTCGCTCCTTTGGTGATGCACCTGACTGAATCACCCCCTAATTGCTCCCCTGGGAGATTTGAACTTTCCACTTGTGGGGGTTCCTCTTCCCCAGCCCTCTCAGCTGCAGTATGGAGCTGAGGTTGGGCGCCTACTAAGAGCCTAAATTAGGACTTGGTGACTCCGCAGTGGTTTCCTGTGGTCCCAACTTCCCCTTGCCTCTCTGTCCGTGCCTGGCTGGTCAGCTCCTCCAGTGCCCCTTCCTCCAGGCAGCCTACCCAGATTGCCCATCTGCTCCATCTGAGCCTGCCGCAGACCTCAGTCTGTGTCCTCAGAGCACCAGCTTCCCCCAAGCTCCAGCTGATTACCCAGGTTAGGTGGGCACCTTGCCTCGGGCAGAGTTTGTATATTGGGGGTCCCTTAACAAGAACTGATTCTATATAAGCCCAGCTAAGTGTCATTGTATTAAACTCTCTCCAGAATCCTATGGAGCAGGGGCAGGGGTGGGGGGATCACTTCACAGATGGGAAAACTCAGATTCAGAGAGGTTAGGTAGTTGCCTAAGGTCGCATAGCCAATGGGGCCAAAGTGGGGCTGGGATTTAAAGCCAGTAAATCTGACTTCAGAGAACCAATGGTAGATTTGAATAAAGGTGAGAACAGGCAGGAAAAAGACCTGGAGAAAAGGGTCAGAGTCACCCTGGGGGAAAGGGAGAAGCTGAAGATGCCCCCTGGGGGAGGCTGCACCTGACAGGGATCAGGTGACCCGAGGTCCTCCCCTCTCTGACTAGCCCAGCCTCCTGCCTCATAGTGCTCTGTGACTCCAAAGCAGCTCCCACCCCTCTCCTGACCCCAACCAACTTCCCCTGCGCTTCTTCAGAACTCAGGGACAGGCACCAGGAGGAAGAATTGCCCACCCTGACTGCCTTTTTAAAAAGATTTTATTTTTGGGCGCCTGGGTGGCTCAGTTGGTTGAGCGACTGCCTTCGGCTCAGGTCATGATCCTGGAGTCCCGGGATCGAGTCCCACATTGGGCTCCCTGCTCAGCAGGGAGTCTGCTTCTCCCTCTGACCCTCTTCCCTCTCGTGCTATCTCTCATTCTCTCTCTCTCAAAAAAATAAATAAAATCTTAAAAAAAAATAAAAGATTTTATTTTTAAATAACCTCTACACACAACAGGCAGCTCAAACTCATAACCCCAAGATCAAGAGTTGCATGCTCTATCCATTGAGCCATCCAGGCGCCCCATACCCTAACTGCCTTCTGAGGACAGACTCTGAGAATGACCTCTGGTCCCCTGCTTGGCCGTCCCACCTGGCCTACCTCTGCAAGCCCAAAGCTGCAGCCCCACTGGGCAGGCTGAGTTCGATGGATGAAAACCTGGGGACTCCATTGAAGCTCCCCTCCGCCTCCAGGGCCAGCTGGTTAATGTGCAACCAGGTATGCTTTCTGAGGAACCTGGACCATAAACTCGTTGGGTGATGTCACCCAGCTTCTTGCCCAGACGCTGCCAAACCGGCTCATTGGGCCCTGGGGAAAATGGAGGGTCCACAGGCAAGGGCTAGGTCACTGGGGCAATGTTATTCTAGCTGTGGTGGAGGCTGGCACCATCCAGGCCTCCCCACCCCTTGCTCCTCTGCTCTGGGATCACCCAGGCTCCCAAGGAGTCCCTGCCTGGTAGGGGGCCGCCCGGACATTTGGGTCTAAAGGCCTTGAAGATCTCCTCCCCTTTCCCCATCACAATGCTGTTGACCATCCATGCTGTCAGTCTAGTCCAGCCTAGGCTTGGCCTGCCCCAGGGGTCCCCAGGATGGACTCCAGGTTAAGTTCGCCCACGGCTAGGCACTCCCAGACCATTGAGGGTTTGCAGGACCTCTGACCTGTCTCTTCTGTCACCCACCTTCTGATCGTCCTTTGCTTCTCTGCAAAATGGATAAAACACCCATGTCAGAATGCTGAGGATTGTTGGAGCCTCCGGCAGGAGTATCACCCAGGCCTGACCTTTAGCAAGGACCTCCCCTCTCCAGTGTGGGCTATGCTTGAGGAAGGAGAGGGGAGCAGGACCTTCCCTCCTTCCACCCAGCAGGTCGGGCCCTTAGTGGCCTGAGGGTGGAGGGGGGTTCTTCTGAGAAGCTGCAGAGGCTGAAGACAAAGAGGAAGCCCTGAGTGCCCCCCTCCCCATGTCTGAAAGCCAAGTCGGCCTCCAGATTTCCAGAAACAGAAACTTGAGCCCATCAGGCTTTTGGAGGTGGGAGGGTGAAGAAGGCAACTGCGGATTATTTCTAAAATTGGAGGAAGGGGCTGCAGGGAGCACAGTGTGCAGAAATTCCAGGCTTAAGGGACACCTGCTATCTGGGCAGCCTGGGGCCATTTGCCTTTTTGCTTTGGTTTGTTTTATGTGCCTAAGAAAATGCCAACTGGGAACAGGTCAAAGCATGCTCAGGTGAGCGGGAGAAGAGGCAGGAGTCCCATGTGTGGTAAGCACAGGGACTGCCTATCGAGACTCCGCACCCTTTGATGTGCACAAAGGCAGAGGTGAAGGGACTTGCTCCTCCTTTGGGTCTTTGCTCCAGTGCCCATTTCCCAGAGGCACCAAAAGACACTGGAATTCCTGGCACTGCCTCTGCCCTGCCCCCACCCCAGCGGCACCCATCTTCTCCCAGATCCTGACAGTATTTCCTTCTGGTTCCCGTGGCTGCTTGCTCACGGCCAGCCTTCCAGCAGCAGCATGATGTTCACCTTGCTGCCGCAGTGCTCACTGTGCATTCCTGGAGGGATTCTGTGAAACATACACAGAGCTAAGGGTTCTCCTTTCTTGCTTTATTCACGGAACAATGTATGGTGGACATTGACACACAAGCTCCAATTCACTTCATTTTTCTTCTTTTTTCATTTTTTTTAAAAGAATTTATTTACTGCATGAAGGAATTAACACTACTCCAAGCTAAAAGCAGACCTCCATGGTTACATTAGGTAAGCCGTGAGGTTTTTAAACTTATGACAGGGAACAGAAGGGAAATTCTACTCATTGCAAGGAAATCCTCACTTAAGCTTCAGTGAATCAAAAGCACTTAAAACCCATGAAACTGGGGCGCCTGGCTGGCTCCGTCAGTGGAGCATGCGACTCTTGATCTCGGGGTTGTGAGTTTGAGCCCCACATTTCAGGCTGAGATTACTTAAAAAACGATTAACAACAACAACCACCATGGA